AAAATGTTATATTTTAAGAATTTTAACTTCAGTGAAAACAGTATTTAGGTGTATGTGGAGTGGGGAGGGAGGGCAGGCAGGGAAACTCCTAAAAGCATAGTTAATTTTATAATAAATATCATTTTAGATTTCTACCAATAGTTCTTTTAATTATTATTTAGGATGCAAATATAATAAATAACAAAGAGGGAAAATCAAACCAGGAAATGAAAAGATTCCTTAAGAAAAAAACAAATGAACAAGGATACTTATCAGGTAAATAGTAAATGAGCATTTTCCAGTGTATGAATGATAAGTAATGAAGCAATAGCTGGAATTTCTACTTTACAAATACAAAATGAGCAAAAGGAAATACAATTGATAATTATCTTTGTCTTACAAGCTTTGGAAATGGCACATATCCCACCCTCCACACAAGGCATTTTTTTTTTCAGAGCAAGAGAAAATCCAGTGACTAAAAATGAATAAGAAGAAAAACACTGACCAGGATAATAATCCCAAGAAGTCAAAAATCAAGGGCTGAGAGGAAGAAGGCAGACTAAAAAAATTAGGTGAGACAGTGACCTGAACCAAAGTTCTGGCTCCATGCTCTGCAGCATTGGGCATTCCTACTGCCCTCAGAAGCACGGTGACACTGAGTGGTGCATGACATGTTAGAAAATTTTATTGAAGAGTCCATGGTTGCATCTCTGCCTTTATGCCTGGATAGTTATTTCTTCTTCTTTCACTCCCAGTCTATTCCTTGACAATCCATTTCTATAACCTTTTAACATATGAATAAAATCTGACCATTGTCAGTGGACATACTTTTTATATAGTGAAGATGAAGTTAGGGATGTGCTGAGTTTTTGTTTCATTGCTGTTAGCAATTTAAGATACATCTTGGTGTTTTCTCCCTGTTTCTTGCTGATTTCATTGAAACTAAATATTTTCTCTGTCACCTCCTCTCTTTCCTCTGCTTTGAGAACTCCAATTTCATTAGGCTGATCTCACCCCTCCAGTGGGCCATTTGAAGGTGTTCTGGACCTCACTGGTGCTCTGTTCATACTCGTTCAAATCTGCTCTGAATCTCACCCAGTATATTTTTCATTTCGGACATTGTAGTTTTCACCTCCAGGTGCTGGATTTGGATCATTTTCTTTTCTTTTGTATATCTTCGATATCTTTATTCCTCTAGTTTTTTTTTTAACATATGGAATAGAGTTATAAGTACTGATTTTCTGTCCTTGTCTGCTAATTCTCTAACATACGTCAGTTCTTGGTCACTTCAATTGTTGATTTTTCTCCTCATTATCAATTGTATTTTTTAGCTTTTTTTAATGCCTGATAATTTTTGCCAGGGTGTGAGTTTTATCTTATTGAGTCCTGAGTAGGTTTTTAGTCCCACACATCTTCTTGGGCTTTATTCTGGGATGCCTTTAAGTTATTTAAAACTCGGTGGGATGCTTTCGAGTATTGCTTTTAAGCTTTGTTAGGTGAGTGTAGAGCTGTAATTAATCCGGCATTAATTTCACCCCATTTTTGAGGCAAGACCCTTCAGAGAACTTTAATGCCCTGTGAATCACGAGGATTTCCAGTCTGACCAGGGGCAATGCGGATACAGTGGATGGGAAGGCCCTGTGTGAGCTGTGGGTAATCTTCCCTCTAATCCTCTCAGATGGTTCTACCTCTGGCCTAGCGTACTTTCCTCACATGCTTGAGCTGATCAGTGCTTTGCTGAATACTCAGGGGAGCCCCTCTGCAGATCACTGGAGTTCTCTCTTTGCACAACTCTCTCCTCTCCAGTACTCCGTTCTTCAAACTTCAAACTTACTCCCTTGACTCTCGCCTTCATCTGTTTACCTCAGGGAGCCACTGGGTTCTGCCTGATTCCCCTTCCCTTCTCCATGGCCTGGAAGCCTCTCTCAAGGAAGTACCTTGAACAGCGATCGCCTTTTATTTGCTTTCTGCCTTTTGGGGATTTATTTATAGCCTTTATTACCTGATATCCAGTGTCTAAAAATTTTTGTTTTTCTGGCTGGGAGATCGTCAGGTAAAACAGGTCTTTGTTACTTCTTCTTGGACAGAGTCACAAGATCTTACTTTTGTTATGTTTAAAATGACACTTTAGTAGTTTTTTTTACTTACCTATGGAATTGTGAGAATAAAGCAAGAATGTATTTAAAAACGCATTTTCCTAACTTATTTATAATCCACTTTTCTTCAAAGATTTTTCAAGATAAAAATACTCACATCAGATGAAAACATAATGCTGAAAAACTAGATGAAACCAGGGCCAATATCCCACGTTTATCTTAAAATTCATTCAACTGAAATTTGTTGAATGTCTGCTTTGTTCTAAGACACAGGCACGGTACTGAACAGAGCATACCAATACTGCTCTGCACTGTTGACGGAGGGGAGTGTGCAGACTTGGTTGTGTTCCCAGCATGGCCCAGGAGAGACCTGTGTTTACCTGACATTGAAATTGACCTTCTCCAAAGGCTCCTCATAAAGGGGAACCCTGTGATGCAGGAACTGCAGCCCTTACTTCTGTCTATCACTTCTTCCCCCTGGATGCCCATATCAACGTGTCACCCTCTGAAGTGTTTTAGGCTTTCTTCGGACTTTGTACCTTCACTGTTCTGGTACCTCCTCTTTGGATTTCCCTTAGTGCTGCTCACTTCTCTCCCAGGAAGCCTTCCCTGGTCCCCTCTTCAAACTCTGTGCTTATCTTAAGAGATCCCAGTCTTCAGCACTTAACTCTGGCACAGTTCATGTGACCCTGGATTATGAGAGTTTGCTAGTCTGTCTTTAGTCCAAACTATAAGCTCCTTACAGGGAGGGATAATCATTTTAAAAATTCTGCTTCCTCAAGGGAGGATACAATGGTTGGCACATGATAGATATTAACAATGTTGAATAAATGCACAAAATGAAGGCATTAATCCTAAAATAAATAGAAGAGGCAAGTTCAAAGGCCTAGTTTTTATAAATTCCCTCAATATTTGTTCATGGTTATCAGCCAAAGCACAGTCAAGGTAAGGCATATAGCCATTCAGGTACTCATTTAACTGATGATCTGGCAGGAGATGACATATGTGAAAACGTAAGACATTATTATTTTACTGTTTTGAAGTTTTATTTAGGGCTGAACTTCTTTATATGGTTCTTCTGTAATTTCCTATGCTTATTTAATAATGCTTGCTGTTTGTGTTCCACCCAAATTCATCTGTTGAAGCCTAAAACTACAATGTGATCGTATTAGAAGGTGGGGTCTTTAGGTGGTAATTAGGTTATGAGGACGGAGCCCTTACGAATGGGATTAGGACACTTATGAGAAGAGACATGAACAATTATCTGTCTCCACCAGGAAAGATGCAAGGAGAAAGACAGCCATCTGCACATGGGAAGAGGGCCCTCACCAGACATCAGATCTGTTGCATCCTTGATCTCGGGCTTCCAACCTCTAGAACCCTGTGAAATACATTTCTGCTGTTTAAACCACCCCGTCTAGAGTATTTTGGTAGGGCAGCGCAAACGGACTAAGACATCTTTATTACACCTTATTTTAGAAATAATAGTCATCTTATTGATAATAAGATCCCTGAAAATAGCTCCTCCCTTACCAGCAGCACCCATTCTTTCTCGTGTCTGATGGTCACACTGATTATCTATAAGGCATTACATTGAAGGAGCCACAACTTTAAACCTTGCTGAGTCCTGTGATCTTGGTTATCATCTCTCAGTCTATACACTCATATAATTTGCTATGATAATAACAATTCTCCTGAGGGGAAAATCTAGGAATTGTTTTATTCAAATTACTAAGGTTTTTTTGGCAAAAAAGTTGAAGAAAATATTTGTGGGTGATAGAAAATGGCTGATTTTACCTTAAAATGGAGATTACAAAAATGTTGACTTGCCATGAAGGGAACTGGATGCTTTTTTCCACATATAATTTAAAAACAGTGGGGTAAAGGGGCAAACACTAAGAACTCTCCTAGGACGTATATTTGTCTCCTCTCCATTTTAGAAAAAGGAAGAAGGGACCTTCCCCTGCACTGGGCGATGTAGAGGATTTGCCTAATATGGTTATTGAACTTGGTGGGCTGGGCCTAGCCAAAGCCTGCTTTTCCTCTTCTCTCTGGATCAAATTATGGTGATATGGCTGAAATTCAATAAACCCCAACAGAGGCCACGTGCCAAGAGCTCTCAGGTAACAAGACTTGACCTCCATCTTCAAGACGAGGAGGTAGAATTGCCGGGTCCCTGAGTGGGGGCTTAGTCTGTCTCATTCACTCTTTCATCTCCAGTGCCTACCACAGCACCTCTTCCAGGATAAAAATTTTAATAACCATTTATCAAATGAATAAATGGATTCAGTTACAGTATAGCAGTGATATTCTGGAAGCTTAACCAAATTAATAAATTATGTGGCCTGACATGGTATTGTGTGCCTGTAGTCCCAGCTACATGGGAGGCTGAGGTGGGAGGATGGCTTGAATTCAGGAATTTCAGTGTCCAGCCTCAGCAATATAGTGAGATGACCTCATCTCTGAAAATAAATAAAAACATAAAAACAATAAAACAAAACAAAAAGAAATTATGAATTGAGTATAATTAGATTTGTCAGTGTTGGAATTCGAGGTGAGAAGGTTTCTGAAAATGACTCCATAGAGCAGGTGAATTGGGGTTTTGAAAGTTGAGTAGTTTTTTAAATGAAGTAGAAAGGGGCATTTCAGTGCAGGTAGATCCTATTAGGAGTTAGTCTAGTAACCAAAGCAAGTGAGGGTAAAGACCTGGCTGAGTGTAGTGTCAGTAGGATTGGAGAGGAGGAGGAGATTGAGAATTTATGTGATAAAATCAAATAAATGGCTCTTTGATGCTGCCTGATATGTACAATTGGGTCACAGAGGAGTCAGAGAAGGTGCTGAGGGCATCCTGGGAGGGAGGGCACTGCATCATCTCTGTACTTCCTTCAATTCCACCCAATTTTTCTCTTCCTCCTAGGACAAAAGCTTGCTAAGAGGAACTTGTCTTCTCGTTCACTGCTGAGTCTTCAGTTCCCAGAACAGATCTTGGCACATGCACATTCAACTTCTGCTGACTGGGTGATTGAGATGTTGCAAATGCCATCGTCAAGGGTGCCCCTGTTGCCTGAATTCTAACTACCTTGGTGAAGTCTCACTGCTTAGTTTATAATGAGTATTTCAGTATGGAGATCTTCTACGTCCAGATTTAATCACTTTTCTGTATTTGTCCGTTCTGCTTCTGCTGGTGTTTTGCAGTAAGCCAGAAGTAAGTGAGATATTGTGGACTGCAGGAAGAGGTTGAACAGGTAACTCCGATTAGACTTTCACAATGGGACTTCCATATTGCATTTACATGATCTTGGAAGGGGCCTTTTATCATAATAATTCTAATAACTGATATTTATTTAACACCTAGTACATAGTAGGAACTCTGCTTAGTACTTTATATAAATTAGTTCATTTAATCTTTCTAACAACCCTGTATTTAATCTTTACGACAACCAACTAGGGTTTTTATTTCCAATTTGTAGATGAGAGAACTGATGCTCAGAGGTATTGTGCAACTTAAAAATGCACTGCAGCTAGGTAACCACCTGCTAGTTTCCCATCACAGCTAAGGTGCCAGAGCTAAGGGATAACACACGTCTTTAATCCCAGCACTTTGGGAGGCCCAGGTGGGCAGACTACCTGAGGTCAGCACTTTGAGACCAGCCTGGCCAAGATGGTGAAAGCCCATCTCTATTGAAAACACAAAAATTAGACAGGTGTGGTGGCAGGCACCTGTAATCTCAGCTACTAGGGAGGCTGAGGCAGGAGAATCGCTTACACCTGGGAGGCAGAGGTTGCAGTGAGCTGAGATCATGCCATTGCACTCCAGCCTGGATGACAAAGTGAGACTTCATCTCAAAAAAAAAAAAAAAAAAAGTGATGCTCAAGCCAGGAGATAAAGACCTGAAGAAATCCCCTTTCCTATGATGCTGTCATAATTTTCATGCTCCTGATCGTACCTGCCCAATTATTAGCAGACATGCAGACAATAGCAAATCTCAATTCACAGTCACATGGTGGAATTCCTTTGCTTACTGCTGTAAATTTATCAAGAAAAAGGGAGAAATGTTTTAACTATAAGTCTGAGTTAAAGGTAGGTGGTGACTAATCAATCAGCCAACACATGTCTCTTGGCATGAGAAAGTCAACTTCTTGTGATATTCTGGGTTCTCAGATGTGATCTCAAAACATTAATGCCAGATGCCTGTCTCCCTACCTGAGACAAACTCATGGTTTCAGAGCACAGGTCAAAGCACAAAAATGAATGCATTAGAATTAAGCTGGCTTCCATTACAAAGCTTCATATAAATATTACACCGGCTCTATAAGACACTCAATGTTTGGTTTCTGAACCTATTAATATATAATGAGGATACGATGTAATTAACATCATTTGTTTTGATTTTTTGTTAAATCCACTTTAGTAATAGGAATGCAAAGTAATTATTCAAAAAGGCTTTTCAACAAATGCCAGTTTCATTGATTAAAAATCAAGTCAGTGCTTCATTTGAAATGATATTTACAAGCATGCTTTAAACTGAAATGAATAATTATCAGATTATTGAACAGCAAGTTATCTGCAAAGAATTGTCTACTTCTTTTTTTCTTTTTACATTGAGACTTGATCTCAAATAATAGTAAAGGACAAACCAAAGGGTACTGAGAAGAAGCGTCGTGATTTTGCTTTGAGGGATTTGATTTTCTTTTTATAGTGCCCTCCTCTGCTGGTTATAGAATCTTCGAAAACTGAAGTTTTGTGGGTTCAGAGCTGGATGTTGTTGCAGGGGTGGGACTGGCAGCAGTTCATCACACTGCAGTCTGAAATTCCTCTGCTTTTCCGTGATCCTGCTGCAGTGAATGGCGGCTACGCCAAACCAGCTTAGGAATTTCTTTTCACTCTAAGATGGCTTTTGTTTCTATGTCTCTTCTTTTCATTCTTTCACATTAAACAACGGGAAAGTAGTCTGTCATCTGTTACTCATGGAGTGGTGCTGAAGGCAATGTGAATTCAGAGCCATTTGTTTTTTCTGGAACTAAGGAATGTGCACAACAACCAATCCAACAAATTTAGACTGCAGTGTGTTCGTATTTACAAATAGACATGTATACATAAATCAAGTCACCCAAACTATGTACTGCATGGACTTTAAAATGTTCTTTGTGTAGCTAACTCTTATTTGAATTACTTCGACAAAATGCCAAAAGCTCATTAATATATGCTCTCTTCATTTACTTAATCATCACTCTGTACACTTTTGTAGGTGCTTGAGACACGACAGCAAAAGTGCTCCTCAAAGTCTCTACTTCAAGAACCTCACATTCAAGCCAGAGAGACTGACAGTAACAAACAAATATGTGAAGTATGGGGCTTCTCAGATGGTGAGTGGTGTCATCCAGGAAGATCAGCAGGGAAATGGATAGAAAGGACTGGGCAAGAAGTTTTAGTTTCCAATTGGGTCATCGGAAAAGGTTTACTGAAAAGGTCATCATTGAGCAACAGCTTGATGAGTGTGAAGGAGTAAGCCCTATGGGAATCTGGAGTAAGAACATTCTAGCATTGGGGAAGAGAACATGCAAAGGCCCTGCTGGGTGGGTAGCTGATTGTGGAAGTTGAACAAGAAGGCCAGTGTAGCTGGCACAGGGAGGAAAGAAAAAGAGAGATGGCAGATCTAATCCGGGAGTCATAAAATGGAATCACTGGTTCCTTCTCTTTTATAACAGCCAACATCTGCTATAAAAGAGAAGTGTTATAGTAACTGGAGGCTAGAGGCTGTTGACCTCACAGGCAGCTCATGTTCTTTCTGAGTTTTCCCCTATTTAATCACTAAGAACTAAGCCACTCGATTAATGATCCACCACACTGTAAATAGGAGTGCGTCTGCCTCCTTGATTCTGGGATTTGGTCAGAATTTGGCCTTGCCATGTCAACTGCATTGGCTTTTTTTTTTTTTTTAAGATAGAAGTTAATAGGGGGAAAAATACCAGAGATGAGAAGACTGACAATTTAGTTGTAATTGAGAGCAGTGTTGGATAGAGGTGTATAAGTTAAATGTGGCAAGTTTTTCAGATGTAATTCTGAATTTTCTTCTGAAATGAAATATTTTGGAAATTGTATCTTTGTATTAAAAATAGACTAACGTTTTTAAATACCAGGTTTCTGACTCCTAACACTCAGAATGTCCTGTCTCTCCTTTTGGCTTTTCTTGGGCTCTACTGAAATGGCAGAAAAAAGTCAAGTACCACGTTGGGTTAAGTGACTAGATTAAGGCACTGGGGAGGGAAAAAAGAGAGAGAATGGGGATTTATTTGATACTTATTTATTTGGCCAGACATGTTACTTTATTTGATCCTCACAACTCTCTGTGAGGTAAGCAGAGAAATCTAAGCAATCTTCTCTGTGTTTCTGACTTCCTCACAGATCTATGGAAGGGAATTCCATTAAGTGATGGAGTGTGAACATGTCAACATCAGGATCCACGTATATATTGATGGGGGCTAAAGGAAATACCAATTCAAAATATTTCCTCATCTTATTAGAGAACTCTGTCTCCAAGCTCCTTTAGAGATTAAAATCATCTCCAGCATCAGGAAGTCCTGCTTTCTTAGGTTACACATTGTAGTCTGCCAGAAATGTAAATCCAAGCAAGAAAATATCCAAGAACCCAACCAGTAAATGATCAAAAAGTTTGCAATTAGGATGGATGAAAACCTAGCAAATGTGAAGCCCCTTTGTAATTCTATGGCATCAGAAAATTAAATTTCTATAATAGCAAATTACGATATAATGAGGTCACATTAGTGGAATAAGAGGCCCAGATGCCTCAATGATTTAATCTCTCTCTTCACGTAAGCTTGCATCGAATTTTAATGAATATTTTGATTGATAACATATTTAGTTCAAAATAGGGCTTTGAAGACAGCTATACATTTTAAAGATGCTGTGATAGAAATTTGTTTTATTAAATAGCTGATAGGAAGAAAAATCACTATATAAAGCTGCTAATGTCAGACATACCATTATGATCCATCTACTGCTATTGAGTAAAGAGACGGTAATGGATCTTTATTGGGCTATTCTTTGAACACTATAGAAGCTTATTTTCCTTATTGAAGAAAAAAAACCAAGTGACACCAATGAAACAGGTACAGTAAAAGCATTAAGTTTAAGAGAAGAGAATTTCAAGTAAAAGCTGCCTAAATATAAAATAGCTTTGCTACTTCAGCTTTTGGTAAAATTGTAATGGCTTTGAGGACTTAGGAATTATCTTAGTGGGGCTGAAACCTTACCAGTGCTGTCCAATAGCAATGTAATGCAAGCCAAAAATTTATTTTTAAAATTTCTAAAAGCCAAATTAAAACCATAAAATACACCATAAAATTCATGTGTTATTTAACACAAATTATGCAAAATATGACCATTTGAACATGTAATCAAATACACATTATTAATGATATATTTTATGTGAATTTTTTGCATTAAGTCTTCAAACCACGTCTCTGTTCTTCTTCTGCTCTAAATTATCCAGAACAAATCTAATTTATTATATGCATGGCACTTACTTTTATATTTTGCAAAAGGTCTTATTTGTTCCCTAGGTCATCTCTTTGATGTCTCTGACATCTCTTAAATATTCAAGTTCTAACAACTATTCATGTTTTGCCTTTTTGCGTCTTCCTAGTTACTGTGCCCTGGACATCTCCTGTTTTAACAAATGGCTTTCTAAAGTTTGATTCTCAGAATTGGTCTTAAGAATATAATGGGACTGTGAGTCCTTCTTGTTTTATGTTTACACTTCTAATGGATAAAGCCGATAGTTTACTAGACGGGGCAGGGGACTCCAAAAGTTGAGGATGAAACTGCCAATTTCCTCTGCTTGGAGATGCCTTGATGCCAGGGTGTATTTACTGTGAAGCTAATGAAGTGCTAGCTTCAAGGTCTTCTCTGACATGGCCCCTTTAAGGCCCTAGGAAGGCTTTAGCAAGGTGTTTATATGGTTATATAATTTTGCTTAAAAAATGAGATTTTGTAAAACAATTTTACAAAAACAAGACACTTTACTATACTTTACTACTCTATCTTAACCTTTGCTTTCTTTCCCATGTTGGGAATAGCTGTAGACATTTTTGGAATTGAGCTAAGGATGGAGCTGAGTTGGGAATATATTTAGTTTGGATTCAGTGGGATAATTATGTGGTTTATAGTCATTTATGTATAGTTATTTCAGGCTCACTCAGTGCAGGAATAAGTTCCAGAAATCTTTCTGCTTTTCTCTGGGCCTACTTACCAGCATTAAAACATAATGACAGGGTCTGAGGCTGCGCTTTGATATAGCAGATCCCAGAGGCAAAAGCTGGTCTGTGGAAAGTTCTTTAAATCATTCCTATTCAACTGTAGTAAATGATTTTGTTCTTATTGACACTTAGTTAAAACAGAAGCTCTCTGTTACCAGATATATACTTGATAATATGGTAGATAAAATTGTTACAACATATACATTTTTTTGATGCACTTACACAACATAGAATTTATAAGATTGTGTTTTTAGGAAACACACGTGTAGCAGTGAGTAGATCTTTTATGAGAAAGTAACTTGGACAGGTATTTCTCCAAATTTTACAAGTTTTAAAAATGTAAGTGACATTACATGTAATGAGTTGTGAAATCGAAGGAAACGCTCTACACTAAAAATAAGGAAAAACACGTTTAGATCAACCATGTCAAGATTAACATAAAATATTTTTCTGTTCGCTCTAGAAAAATGTTATAAAATCAGTTATATAAATAAGTAATTAAAGAGTCTGTAGTCAAAAAACTGTAGGAAAACTGTATGGTTCAGGTATGTCAGATAATAAATTAATATAAATATTATGTTGGTTTTCTGGATTTTGTGGTATTTGTGGTACTTGTCAGCTTTGTAAAGTGCATTTGTGACTTTTTTCATTCTCATTAAGTAATTATATTTAATAATTATTTCATAAATAATTATTACTTAGTGAAGAGTGAATATTTAATTTTTTATTTGTAACTTTTATTTGTATTCTGTCATAGCCTTGCTTTTCCACATTTCTTCTTTATTTTTTTTGATAATTTCAACTTTTATTTTAGATTCAAGGGTGCAAGTGCAGATTTGTTACATGGGTATGTTGAGTGATGCTGAGATTTGGGGTACAGATAATCCTGTCATACAGTTAATAACAACTTGCTTTGCCTCTTCACCCCTTCCTAATTACTGTGCCCTGGACATCTCCTAATTTGACCAATGGCTTTCTAAAGTTTGTCTCTCAGAATTGGACTTATGAATATAAGATATTTATGTATATTATTTGCATTAAATGATTCTAGTACCCAGTAGGTAATTTTTCAGCTTATAGTTCCCTCGTACATTCCCCCCTCTAGTAGTCTCCAGTGTCTGTTGTTCCTATCTTTATGTCCATGGACACTCAGTGTTTAGCTTCCACTTGTAAGTGAGAACATGTAGTATTTGATTTTCTGTTTCTGCTTCAATTCACTTAAGATAATGGCCTCCAGCTGCATCCATGTTGTGCAAAAGATATGATTTCATTCTTTTTTATGACTGTAGTATTCCATGGTGTATATGTGCCACATTTTTCTTTATCCAAGCCAACAATGATGGGCACCTAGGTTGATTCTATGTGATGACCTCATAAATCAATATCCACAGTGGTATTTCTTAGGGTTTCTTCTAGGATTGTTACAATTTGAGGTCTTACTCTATGTGCCACATTTTCTTTATCCAAGCCAACAATGATGGGCACCTAGGTTGATAGTATGGTGATGAACATATGATGACATATGTCTCTTTTGTAGAGCAATTTATTTTCCTTTGGGTGTAAACCCAGGAATGAAATTTCTGGGTTGAATGGTGGTTCTAAGTTCTTCAAATAAATCTCTAAAATTGTTTTCACAGTGGTTGAACTAATTTACATTCCCACCATCACTGTATAAGCATTCTCTTTTCTTTGCAGTCTGACCAATATCTGTTGTTTTTTGACTTCTTAATAGTTGCCACTCTAATTGGTATGAGATGGTATCTTGTGGTTTTAATTTACATTTCACTAATAATTAGTGATGATGAGCATTTTTTCATGTTTTTTTGGCTACTGATATGTCTTCTTATGAGAATTGTCTGTTCGTGTTCTTTGGCCATTTTTCAATGGGGATATTTGTTTTTTATTTGTCAATTTGTTTAAATCCCTTATAGATTGTGGATATTAGACCTTTGTTTGGTGCACAGCTTTAGGTCCCAATGGTCAATTTTTGTTTGTGTTGCAGTTTCTTTTGGGGAGTTAGCCATAATTTCTTTGAGAAAATCAATATCCACAGTGATATTTCTTAACGGTTTCTTCTAGGATTGTTA